GGGCCCGGCGCCCGGCCAGCGATACCGGCCCCGAGCTGCGCCCGAGCCCTCCGGGACCTTCGGGAACCACACGTGGCTGAGGCCCAAGGGCAGCGGAGAAGGGACACAGCAGGGGACGGCCCCTCTGCCGCTCCCCTGGTTGGGTGGCTCCGTCTTGGCACACCAGGAGGATGTCCAGATGGACAGATGGACGGAGCCTCCCACCTTCACAGCTCCCCAAACCCTGCATGCAAAGGCCAACTCCCACTCAAACAGCTCCACAAGACCAAAGCTGTGTCCACCATCACCCTGCAGAGCAGCCAGGACCGCAGATTGATGGGTGGGCAGGCTCCCCTGGTGCTGGGCAGGCTGAGAGGAGCTGAGCCCTTGTGCGTAGGAACAACTCCGTGCTGTGGTTATGGCCCCTCTGGGAAGGAGCAGGGAGAAAGCTGGACCTTCTACAGCCATCCATAAACCAAGGAGGAACCTGGAGTTTTGGGGAAGGGACAACCTTTACTGTCCTGGGTAAAACGTTAAAGCCTCCCCAGGCGGTGGAAGCTTTGTCCCTGCTGCTGCCCCAGCCTCAGCGGCTTAGAGACAACTGCGTCCTGCTCCATTTATCTGCTGGGTAAAACTGGGAGAACCTCGGGCTCCTGCTTCATTCCCTGAACCATCGCAGCCCTGGGAAGGGAAAGGAGATGGGGAGAGAGACAAAGAGCCCGGCGGCCAAGAGCAGCCCCAACAGGGCACGGCAGGACTGGAGCCACCAGCCCCAGCCTCCTCACCCACCCAAAGAGAGTCTGGAGGTGACCAGGGCACGAGGACAGCGCTGGTGGTCACAGCCCCTCAGCTCTGCAGGACACCCAGGACGTGACACCCAAAAAGGTGACCCCCACTGCGACCGACTGGCGTGGATGAGCAGTTTTACGAGGGGTCTGGTGCGTGGTGCCAGCCCAGAAGCAGGAGGCCCTTGATGGACCTTGCAACCCGAGCAGAGCCGTAAAAAACAAACTCTTTCCTTTGCGAGCTGCAGCCTGGCCTGCGCAGACAGCTCTGGCTCGGCACACAGCGGGGACCAGCAAAAACCAGCAGGGCCCAGCGCTGGCCTCCACGCAGACCATGGCGCGAGGCCGGGGACGCTCCTGGGGAGCACAGAGGTGCCTCTACGCAGGCAGCGGGGGCCGGGGCAGGGGGCTGTGCTGCGGAAGGAGCCGCTTTACGGGAGCTTTACGGAAGGCTCCGGTTTGTTCTCTGCGACCCAGCCCGTCCTCACCCACCTCTCACTCCCTGGCCAATCCCTTCGGAGAGCGGGAGGGCGCTGCCTGCCAGAGGAGAGGCCCCGGAGGCGCCTGCCAAGGCTTTGGGAAGCACAGTGAGCCCGAAAGCAGGGCTGGACCTGCCTGGAGCAGGAGTTCCTGTTCGACAGCATGGGCTGCTGGCTCCCCGGGGCTCTCCTCATCTCCCCAGGAGCTCGGGCTGGACCAGGCTCATCGCTGAGCTCTTTCCAGGACTCTCCTACCTGAAGCGAGGTGTATTTGGCAGGGGGCTGAGAGAAAGAGCAGGGGTGTCCCAGCATCTTCATGGCTGGCAGGACCCCTCCATGGATGTCAGCAGGGGGAGAACATCCCCCTGCCCCAAAGCAGAGCAACCAGAACAACTCTTCTGCACCAAGCATGACAGGAACACAAAGCAGAGGCCACAGCTGCACTCACGTATCAGTAAATTACACAAAGCCTCATCAAAACCTTAACGAACCCAACCAGGTTAGAAATTGGGTCTGCTGCTGGGGGCAGCACGCCAGGGGAGGGCACGCTCCTGCTGAGCACTTCCCAGACGGGGCACAGGCGTTTCACTGCCTCTCCCCATCAGGACACAACGTGTCCATCTCAGGACAGCTTCAAGTCCCAAATGCCCTTCTCACGCCCCTGTGTGGCCTGACTCCTTCCCTGAGCTGGCAGGCAGAGGGAATGGGCTCCCCCCTGTGCACAGCCCTCAGAGGAAGGGGTCTCCCAGATGCATGGGGACGCAGGCTCCCAGAGGAACCCTGGGGCACCAAGGGCACACCCAGAGCTGCAGCAAAGGCCAAGCAGTGAATCCCCAAAGAGGAAGGAGCAGATGCTAGGCAGGACAAGGTGGGCAGATGAAAGCAAACCCGGGCAGCGTCAGCCGCCCCCAGCCCACAGCAGCACCTTCCCGGCAGGGCAGGGCGGGCTCTGCAGCTTTAAGAGTCCTCCCTCCTGGCCCACGGTGTCAGGGAAAAATCTGACACGTTTTTCCTGGTGGATGTGAACCGACAGGCCAGAACAGCCTTTGCCTTTTCCATTCATTTTCCACACAGCCCCCTGGGACTCCTGCTCATGAAAGGGCCGATTGTGCCCCTGCGGAGGAGCGGGCAGGTAGGGCGGGAGCAGCAGCAGCTCCAGGAGCCCAGCACGGCACAGCCCTCACTTAACTCAAAGAAAAACCTGCAGGGGAGGGTGCCCTGGGGCAGAGACCCCCGCACTGCGGCCACCTCATGGCAACAGCCCGAGAAACCAGCCCTGGGCTACCTGGGGCTGACGTTCAGGTCCTCATGGGTTTTGTGGGATGATGGTGGCGGTGTCAGAGCTCCCCATGTTGGTCCTCGCTGTCCCAGCAGGACAAGGTGCCACCCCAGGGCAGAGCAGTGGGGACACAGCACAGTTTGGCAGCTGGCAGCGCCAGGGCAAGCTGCTTAGCCCAGCCCTGGCACAGGGCAGAGCCTGAACCAGCCCCACATCCCCCCGGGGCACAGAGGCCCCTCTCCCCACCTCAATACCAGGTCTGTCTCCTGCGAGCGGCGGAGCTTGGCTTGGAAAAGACAGAGCGA